CTGAGCCATTGCACTTAGAATATGTTTTGAGCTCCAGAGCAGATATTTATGAGAAGAGAGAGTTGTTTTTGTCTCCGATCCAGGTTTGGACTCTGATGTACAGCAGGGAAGCCGCTTCGCACTGCAGACCTGAAGTTCTGGAATATCCATGATGTCACCTTTTTCTACTGATCTGCTACCACTGCACAGAGGCACGCTATTAGCTCTGTGATGTTTTAGCTTAATTCTCCCATATGTGCGTTGCAATTGCAGCCAAAACAAAGTCGGCAAGGGATTTTACAGCCACTGAATTGCTCAAGGTGCTGCTGGCTCGGTGAGATCAGGTCAGGATGCATGCATTATGAGCGAAAAGACAAAGAGAAAGAAGAGGCACCAGGACAGTGGGATTTCCGGTTGCCTGGTGTGTGATTTCCAAATCAAGCCTTTGGTCTTCCAGTCAATGATTTGATGTTCTGTGTTTTCACCTTTGAGATTTTCAGTGCTTCTCTGGCAGATGTGATGGGAGAAAGCACCCTGTTCTGAGCGGTGAACTGTGGATGGAATCCCTCTTACTGAATTAGAAAGGAGACATTTTAGGATACGAGCTCATGAAAGAGAAGAGTTTTGAAATGGAAAAAAAAAAAAAGTACACACACACACACACACACACACACACACAGTAACACATAACTAGACCAGCACAGGATGTATTTGTGGTTAAGCCATCTCTCCCATTGCAGATGACACTTTAACGCTTTGATTCCCAGAGTCCTCCTGCACACACCCAGCAGGAAAAGATGCCTCGGCAGCTGCCACCCTAAAGCCAGGCTGCGCCAGAGATGGAAGGAGGAAGGTCTGGCTGCACATGATCACCAAAGCCTTCAACTTGAGATCAGTCTGAGACTCCTTCTCTTCTCCCCACCGGCAATGTCGTGACATAAATGCGTAACCCTCGCTCCCGGAAGATCTTCCGAATAGAACGAACGATGGGACAGAGCAATCACACCAGGAAAGACTACTTGTGATCATTAAGGGAAGAAAAGGGGGGAGTGGGGTGGGTAAACTGTTAGGCTAATCAAAAGCAAATAACTGTTGTTTTTTCCTCAGCTGTCTTCGCAAAAGTCACAAGGATGATGGTACATTTTCAAGCCTGCTCCAGCCAAACTCTGAAATATGCAAGTATTGGTTTCGTATGCGCAAAGCTGCTCTTTTTTTTTTCTTTTCTTTTTTCTTTCACTGTGGGAAAATGAACTTATTTTCAGTCACCCCTGACATCTGACCACTCGACTGATCACGAGGACACTGTGGTAAACCACAGCTCAACTTGAAATTATCTCTTTCAGGCACGGTTCCTGTATTTTGGATGGCACCAGCCCTGGCTGCCCAGCTTCAGCTTGCCTCTATGGGGGTTCCATTTTCGCTTTCCTCCATCGACTCAAAGCAAGTGGTCTTATTCTAAAGTCTTTCAACTGGGCTCATCCTCAAAATAAGCTGAGTACAAAAAACGACACCAGTTTTCCCAGCCAAAGCCCTAAAAGTGGCCTATTTATACATTGTGTTCTTCTTTTTCAAAAGGGCAGGGGGCGGTGAAAACTTTAAACATCCTGGAAAAGAAACCAAAAAAAAAAAAAAGCGCCAATTCTCCTGATTAATATCAGGATGATCCAGCAGGGTTTATACATATTCCTTCTGTTTGAATCATCTTGTTTTTTGTAGCTGTTTTACACCTCCAGGATCCTGCCATCTGCCCACTCTAAAGAAACGCAGCAAAGCATTCCAAAAACAATGGCTGGAAGGAAATCATTTTGAACAAACCCAAGAGATGGGCTTGTCTGCACCCTTCTGCTTATTGCTACGCTCCCTGGAGGAGTGTGGGCTGGACCCGAGGCTCATGCTGCATGGGTCTCGTCTCCTAATAGCCCCCCTTCATCCCCCCCCACCCCCGAGCCCTGTCATGCCATCGGGCTGACAAGAGATCTGGCTGCCCTCTTGGCTGAGGAAGGAGGGGGAGGAGGGGTGGGCGGCCCCCTGGGCAGCTCTGTCCTACTCAGATCTGGTGTGTGTCACTGGAATGACAACTTGAAGAAGGCTGGAAGCCTGTGGACCCTACAGCGGGCCCAGTCCCCCTCACTCTCTTGCTACCCAAGACAAGAGTTAACAGGCCCAAAGAACACGGAGGGGCCATCGGGACAGACGAAAGCAGTCTTTCGTTTTGCTCACAAAAGCCTGGGAAATCTAAAGCTTAGCAAAGGCTTTATCAGTCCTGGGGCTGAGCCAACGAGCAAGCTGAAGTTCAGTTGGCCAGGCCAACGCAGCTGCTGGCTATCCACGCTTCCCACGGGGACTTTTCCTCAGCCCGTGACTTAGACAGTGAAGGGACGGGTAAGGTGCATGTAGCTGCCGAGGGTGACTGGAGAAACAAAGTGACTTGCAGCTCCCGAGCAGTTTAGGTGGAGCAGAGAGTGCAGAAAAGGTTTTCTTTCCAGCCGCAAAATGAGGTGTCAGTTAAAGGGCTGCTGGCCTTGCGGAGAGGTTATTACTTTAAAGGGATATTGGCAAATGCTTTTGGCTGAACATTTAGGCTTGGTTACTTGCCTTTCCCCCACAGTTCATAGAGGGATAAAGATATTACATGAATTGGATTTTTCTTGTGAATTAAAACATCGATGTCCTGACAAGTTAGTGCTGAGCAGGCAAGAAAGGAGGGAGAGGACGAATGCTTTGCCTTCCGCGCAATGCAAAAAAATGTTCCCAAAACAGCATCATTCCACTCATTGTTCAAGGTCACCAGACTGTGCGTGCTCAAAATGGGACTCCAGACTCCCAAATCCCAGTGTCTGATTAATTGTCCTTTGACTAAAACAATGAAACTAAAATGGGTTAGCAAAAGGTATTGCTCCAGGCCCAAAAGTTCAGAAAGCAAGCACAGCCTCCAGGAAAGTAGGATTTTCTTTCATTAGGCTGATGCTGAATGCCTCCGTAATAATGCTGTAAATGTGAAATTGTCATTTGCACGGTAGGTGTATTGGTGATTTTTTATCATGCCAGTTAAAAGGTAGCGAGTATCACTGTGCTGGGTTCCTGGCACTGGGCAAGGCATTTCCCCCACATTATATGATTTAACCCTCACAAGTACCTGGGGGGTATGATGGTGCTAGAACTGATTATAGTTCTTTGCTTGATGTGTAAGTGGTAGAACTGGGATTCAAGTCTAGGTTTCTAACTCCCATGTTTCAGAACCACTTAACTGCCTTTTTAAAATAGCATCTTATTTTGTGTATTCATATCTGGGTCGACTACTGTAAAGTGTAAGTTCCTAGATAAGAAAAACTATGAGCTGAAGCAGAGCTTTCTTTGAATTACCTACTTGCCATATTTTGCCTAAATATGAAGGTAGTGGGGTTGGTCGTGAAACACTAGCATCCATCGCTTTTAATTAAATAGTGCATATATTCGTAAATAAACTCTCTGTGAGGAAGACAATATATACCCCGATATTTCAAATGCATTGAGATGTCCAGACATAAAATAGTTTGGGTCTTATAAGAGGAAAATATTGGTTTGAAAAGTTAGAAGGTTAAAGATGTTAGTACACAGGTGACTCGGTGCTAAGTGCACATCGACAAAGCAGGAAGAGGGAAATTAATTTAGTTAGCAAATAAGTTGGAGGATGTGGATGCCAACCTCTCTTAAAGTAGAGGAAAAAGACATAATATCATCTTTTCTCTACATTTTTCTCTTTCTTTTTGAAAACAGGAAAGATATGGGGATAGGAAAAACAAGTTAAAAGTGCTAGTAATACACAGATGTAGAGAACAAATGTATGGACACCAAGGGGGGGAGGAGGGGTGTGATGAATTGGGAGATTGGGATTGACATATATACACTAATATGTATAAAATAGGTAACTAATTAGAACCCGCTGTATAAAAAAATAAAAAAAATAGAATTCAAATATTCCAAAAAAAAAAGTGCTAGTAATAATAAAGATGAAAAATGGATTGCACCTGCCCTCAGGGATCTCACGGTCCAGAAGTGGAAGCAGACACATTAACGAAACAGTATGAGAGATGAAAAATAGGAACAGGTACAAGGCACAGAAATAGGGTAGAGGGGACGTAATTACCTAGAGAGAGAAGGAAAAGGTGAGGAAAAGCTTCACAAAGGAGGAAAACTTGAGCTGGAATTTAAAGACTTTGACTAAGTGCATAATGGAGGAAAAAAGAAAACTCTGTACAAAGGCACAGAGCATGAAATGAGCTGACATTTTGGGGCCCAGAAGGAATCTGATATTGCTGGAGGAGAGAGCAGACAGGCTAAGTGTGGAGAGATGAACTGGCGAAGTAGTTAGGAGGCTGGGTCTAGAATGTGGTGTGGTGAGCCACTGATGGGTTTTCAAAAGTGGATTTGAGTTTCCAAAAAATTACTCTTGCGGTGCTGTCAAGAATGAATGGTTGGTCATCTGATCAACAAAATGAAAAGCCAGTTGTTTCAAAAAAGTAATTAAATAGACAAACTCCTGCATGATTGGTTTTTTTTTAAGAGGCAGAACTAAACAGTACTAGATATGAACAGGGACATTGAAGCAGAAAAAAGTAAATATTTAAAAATCATAAGGGAATCACGTGAACAACTTCAGAGCAATATATTTGAAACCTTAGATACACCATACAATTTTTAGACAGCATAAATTATGGAAATAAACTTGAGAAGAAATTGACACTGAATAAACCCATAACCAGTAAGGGGAAAAAATTAACTCCACAGTCAAAAGTACACCACAAAGACTACTAGCTCCAGAGGAGTACGTGGACAATTTTTTCCCAAAACTTCAAGGAAGAAATAATAACCCCTCACAAATAACCATTCTAGGGAATAGAAAATGAGAGAAAACTTGCCAACGTGTTTTATAAAGTCATTATAATCCTGATGTCAAAGCCAGAGAAGGACAAAATAAGAATCAATCTCACATATGGACAAAGAAGCAGAAATACTGAATAAATGTAAGCAAGAAATCCGAAATGAGTGTGTATATATAAATGTCATATAAAGTATATTTTACATGGCATGCAAGAATTGTTTAACATTAGAAAATCAATCATATAATTTATCACATTGACATATTACAATTCATAATGGGAAACATTCAGGGAAATTCGACACCTGTTCATAATTTTTAAAAAAATCTTTGCCAACTGGTATGAATCATAGCTCCATGACTTATTCATTAATAAATTTTAATTCAGGTAAAGACAATCTAAGCTTTGTACAAAAAAGGAAATGAGTGGATGAGAAGAGGAAAGAGAATGGAGGCAAAGAGAACAATTATGAGGTCATCATGACAAATCCAGGTATGAGACACAGCCTTCAGAGGCTGGAGGAAAGTCCTGATGGTAGAGGCAGAGGGGAGAGCAGATTTCAGCCATAGTTAGGAGGAAGACCGATAGAAGCTGCTGACTGACTGGGCGTGGGAGGAGGGTCGTAATGAGGAGACAGGAGTTCATTATGACTCCTGGCTTTCTGCACTAGGTGGCTGTGTGGATGGTAATTCAATTACTCAAAACTGAAAATGCAGTTTGAAGATTTGTCTGAAATTAGCAAGTCCTCTTGCATGAGGGTAAAATAACTAAGAGAGCTACTCAGCAGCCTGAAAAAGAGCTTTTGCCATCACTGGATTTCAATTAATAGCAGGACAGAGAGAGAGAGAAAAGCACTACCTGCTTTTGAAGCCCACGTTGGAGCTGGGCCTGGCAAAGTCGCCACTTGATAAACACCTACTGAATCAGGCCAAAGCTACCAGCAGTTTACAGACTGTATGAATGAGTAAGAAGCTGAGGCTGTGGGGTACCCAGCAGCACAGCAGGCAAGAAAAAATAAAGCCTACCTTGGAAGTACATAGTTAATCTAGGGTTAAGAAGTACCTAATAATGGTAATATTAGCGATACAAATATTTTTAACATTGAAAACAGAGCAAAGAGGGAAAGATATTTTCATTTTTCTTAAATCCTGCTCTATCATATATTCCGTTATGTTTTTATAAACAATTATTACATTTTTGAATTAAAAGTTAAGCTTTGTTCACAACAGATTTAATTTGTATAGAAAATCACAGAATGTAATACTTTGGTCCTCAAGGATTCCCATGTGCCCGAAGCACTGTGTCCACATGCTGGCAGCTACAAGAATTGCCTTTTTCTTCCCTCTTCATTTCTTCAATTTTCCCTCCCAACTTGTTAATATCTATGTATGTCCCACTCAGTATGCTGTGATCTGAATCATATCAAAATCTATAGAAATAAACCAAACTAGATCACCACTTTCCTATGTATATGCAAAGTGTGAGGAAATCATTGGTTAAACATCCCACTGTTCATTCTTTTCCCAGGCTGGATGCAGTGGACCCAGTGGACAAGACTATAGAGCACGGAGGGCCACCTTGAAAGCAGTCACAACCTACAGAAGGCAGCATCAGGCAGCTGCCAACAAGTTTTGTTAAGAGTGAGATCAGGGCTTCCCTACGAGAATGACAATGACTTCATTGGGCTTTAAGGAAATTCATTCAGGTGTGGAGTTGGGTGGAAAGTGCCAGAAAAGTATGAGTGACCCAACATCTAGAGTTTGGTAATTATTTCATAACTGCCTGGTGCTTAAACATTTGGGACACCAGATTACAGACTGTATTACCTAAGGACCAAACCCAGATCAGAGGGAGAAGGTACTAGAACCCTTTGCCAGGAGCAATCTCCTGCTGAAACCATCCAAGGGGCAGGATCCACAGCAGGACAAAGGAACTTTTGAAAGGGACTTGAAAAAGAGTTCAGTTACTCTGTGGTTAACCCATCAAAGGCGTCTTCCTGTAACCCAGAGGACAGCAGGCCTCGACATGTGCCGGCCATTTGGAAAACAGAGTCATATGGAGTAGATCAAACATTTCAGGAGAGCCCCTTGCCTTGAAAACACGGACCCTTATGAAAATCATTAAGCAATTGGTTGTTATTTATTTGCTTACACTGTGCTTCAGCAAAGCAAGCAGGAAGATGAGGATAAGAACCACTGAGCCAGTTTCAGAGGCCCTAGTTCAGGAGAGAAGGATTCCCTTACACCCCGGATTTTAAAGAGCCTTTTACGAAGACATCCGACCACACGGCTGGCATAGGGAGGCTGTCTTGGCTCCCTTCGACTGTGTATTAGGTTAACAACCACCTCAAGCTTCTCAGAAGCCTAGAAATCCCCAGGCTGTTAGAGGAATTCCACAGGGCTAAGAAAACGCTTGCAATCTTAGCACTGGAAGCAGAAAACTATTTCCAAACATCGTCCTTTCTCACTCTGTGGCCCTTTGTGTAACCCACTCCCAGCCTCAGAAAACTGGGTGGCTCCACAGCACACCCCCAGATCTGTCCTTCTTAATGAGCCAAGCACTCTTCATTCATGGCTTGGATCCGTGGACCTGGGAATGAACAAGGAGCAAGTCCGTATTTTCACTTCGGGAGTTACCAGGTTATTGCGCATCGAGTTCCTTCTAAACTAAAGTAATTCCATTGTCTGATGCCTGGAACTTTGCTTGCTTTGAAGTTTAAGGAAGTAGCCCCTCAAGATTCATCCGTCTCCTAGCCTCAACTTCCCTTTCACTCAGACGCAAAGTGCTTGTGAGTGGAGAAGGGCTCAGCAGCATGTCATCATTCTTACACTTTGGGCTTTCAAGTGATCTGTGCTCTGGGGGATGCTGAATGCATCGCCTCAGAGGCTCTGGGAAGTGGGGGAGGAGGCTGGCTCTTGGAAGCTGAACTCAACTTCTCCCAGAACATTACAGAGGTTGAAAAAATCTGTCCTCCAAATATTCAACACATATGTTCTGAAATTCATTAAGTTCCAAAATTAAAAAACAAGTTTAAAAGATCCAGCATTGGTTCTTGTACAAAGCAGATACTCAAGGAATGCTTGTTGACTGAGGAATTTGTTAGCTGATAAATATGAGAAATACAGTCTGTTTTGTAGCACATGGCAGCTGAGGTTGCTAGGAAGACATTTGTCCCTGGTTTGTCATTATACAAGCTTTAGAAAATGAATTGCCTAAACCCTACCTGTGTTTGAAGAACAACTTCCCTGACAAAGCCTTCTCAATGCTCTCTGCTTTGTCATTTTTGGAGGGGACAACTATCACTTGGCTTTGAGTTGTTAATTAACTTTTTGTGATCTTCCCAACTTCATGGTCCCCAAAGGGAAAATTCTGTCTTATTTCTCGTTTACGTAAATTTTGGAGGTAACCCCCTCAGGATCCAACATGAGTTTCTGCACAAAGTACATACTCAACAACTGTTTGTTGACAGATCAATTTGTTCATTAATAGATATTAAAAATACAGTCTGGTCTGTACCATATGACAGCTGAAGTTGCAGTACACAAAAAGCGTCATTCTCTGCTACTTTTTTATAGACCGTACTTAGAAGAAATATTTTTCAGAAGACCTTTTCTGTGGTCTCAAGTTAGGTTTAGACACCAGTATTTAAGAGGGAATAATGTGTTTTATGCAGTAAAATAAGACAGCAACTATACAAATATTGCAACACTGCAGTGACTTTTTCTGTTGACAGAGATGTTGATTAATTTCTAGTAGGCCCATGACAGCCATTTCTGAGGATCCTTAGTTATGAGAGATGCTCGGTAGATGAGCTAATCAGGTTTTTTTAGAGTACAAGATCTAGTCTTGATGCTTTTTGTATTAAGAAAGAAAGGAAGGGAGGGGGAAGGGAAAGAGAGAGAGAGCAAGTGAGGAAAAAGGAAGGAAGGAAGGAAGAAACTCTGTTAAAATATCCACATACGTGATTTAACCACTTATTAGCTAATGACTCGTACACATAACAAGTACGTCATTATAAGAAAGTTGAAAGGAAAAATAAATTCCAACCCTAGAAATATAATTTGGGGATCTTTCCCCCACTTTGCCCAATGCCATTGTACTTCCAGGCCTAAGGAAAGCTCATTCTGGGAGTCTACCTAAACTCTAGAACTTCTAAGTATCACTCTTCTTATCAGTGCTTCAGATCGGGATATTCTTCCAATAGAAGTCTGGGAAATGGGTCTTTACATTCACTTGCACGTCTTATCATTGGGAAAATAGCCTCCCCACAGCAGGTACTGGCTCCTTTCGGTGGACTCTGAAGGCATCGTCTCATTTAATCACTCCATGGAGGCAGGAGCTGTCTCTTTTATTTGAGGAGGGCTGATACACGAGAGGTGCCCAATACCTATCTGTCAAGAAAATACATTCTCCTATCAGCCCTATGAAGTAGCAGCAGGAGGCCAGTTTACTGGATGGGGAAATTCAAATGTGAAGGGAACAAGTCACTTGCCTGAGATCTTCGCAGAGCCTGATTTGTACCACTGTCTCTCTGACTAGCCTCTGTGCTGAGCCCTCCTGCGAGAAGGCAACCATCTACCTTGGTACCCACCCTCATCAATATATCTGGAGGGCTACTTTCAAGGGTATCCTTTCCTTTTGCTGGTAAGTTAAAAGAAAAAATGAAAAACTCTTTTGATCCCTTGAAGATGATTAGCTATAAAGAAAGCTAAACGATCAAGGCCTATATGATATTGTTTCCCTGTGAAATTTTTTTTTTCTAAATCGGGAAATGGTTACTTAGGCCCCCATAAAGCCAGCTCAGAGCTCTACTTCTCCTTCCTTTATCAAGACTTCATTGACTTGGAAAGTGGCTTCTGCTCCAAGGAGTGTGCCAACAGTTTTTACAGGCTGCCAAAACTCTCCACCTCTTTCTTAAAGGAGCCAGGGCCTTTCTTTTCTAGAACTTTATGCCACAATTAAGCAAAACCCAGCCACGTTCAAACAATGTTATACCACAGTTTCCTTAAAATATATTAGAAACCTTCCTATATCTTATTAAGGTATTAAAGTATAATATATGTGTTCAGTAGCAATCATCACCTACTCTACTGAAAGTTCAAAAATTTCTAAAGAGGTGGACAAATATTGATCAGGAACTACCAAAAACTTACTATACCTGATTTCTTAATTAATATAAATGTGCTATATTTATACATACAGCAGCCCACAGTGATAACAAGAGCTCAAAAGGGCACATAACTCCCAAAACCAAAACCTGTGTTTTACTGAAATGCATTACAAATAGGATTCCACCTGTGCAATACTTTTACAATATAAATTTAAAAATAGAGAAAATTAGCTATCTATTAACCCATATTGGTCATTTTTACTGAATCTACACATTGCCAAAAATTGTATCTCAATGAAAAAAACTTGAAGGAAGAAAAATAATAGAGAAATTGCTTTTTAATGTCAATGGAAGAATACCTGAATCTGAGTGGATGGGTGGATGGGATGGATTTGTATAAATTGACTTGATCATATTCTTTTTTTAAAAATTGAAGTATAGTTGATTTATAATGTTATCTTAGTTTCTGGTGTACAGCAAAGTGATTCAGATATATATATATATATACTCTTTTTCATTATGGTTTATTACAGGATATTGAATATAGCTCCCTGTGCTATACAGTAAGAGCTTGTTTATCTATTTTGTATATAGTAGTGTGTATCTGCTACTCCCAAAGTCCTAATTTATCCCTCCCCCACTCCCTTTTCCTCCTTTTCCCCTTTCATAACCATAAGTTTGTTTTCTATGTCTGTGAGTCAGTTTCTGCTTTGTAAATAAGTTCATTTGTATCATATTTTAGGTTCCACATATAACTGATATCATATGATATTTGTCTTTCTCTTTCTGACTTACTTCACTTAGTATGATCATCTTTAGGTCCATCTTGACCATATTCTTTTTGGTTTTTTGTTTGCAGTAGACAGGCCTCTCACTGTTGTGGCCTCTCCCGTTGCGAAGCACAGGCTCCGGACGCGCAGGCTCAGCGGCCATGGCTCACGGGGCCAGCCGCTCCGCGGCAGGTGGGTCCCCCCCGGACTGGGGCACGAACCCGTGTCCCCTGCATCGGCAGGCGGGCTCTCAACCACTGCGCCACCAGGGAAGCCCTTGACCATATTCTTAATCTTGCAATTGAGATGATAATATTATTCAGGAGGCTGCCATTCATTCGTCGTATTGAGATACGGTATACAAACCACACAGCACCGCGTCTGGCACGTGGGCTTGGTGTTTTGTTCTAGCCAACCATGTCAGTTATTGATACCACCAAGGCTACTCCAAGAGGAGAAAACATTATAATAAAATTGGTCAAGCCAGTCTGCTTTGAATACTACCCCTGGTATGACCGTGCTTACTGTTAGTGGAATTCATTTTAGATCTGTTAAGAATGAATTTATTTCCATATGAAATACAATAAAACACCAGTTTTCAAATATATCTTCTCCATGCCCGACTTAATGAAATCTCACCCATCCAGCAAGGCTCGTTTTGAATGCCACCTCCTCCATTGCATCTTTCCTGATCTCTCTTCCATGCAAATGTTTTCACTCTCTCGAACATCTTAAAAACTTTGGCTTTTACCCCTGTGAGGATACTTTCCCTGCTCTGCATGTCATGTTACTGTCTCTTTGCCTGATCCCCAATTAGATTTTGAGTCCCTTGAAAGCAGGGATCAGTCTTATCTTTACATTTTCTACAGGCTGAGCACAGGGCATTGGACTTAGAAGCTCAATAAAAATGTGTTGAGCTGCAGTGAATCGTGACCCACCCTGGCTACCAGGCTCTTGGCCAGCTTCAGCGTGCAGAACACAATGGCTTCTTGTATTCGCTGCTGCGCACACCCACATACATACACTAAACACCTGGAAACATGGCCACTTAGTTGCTTGGCAAACACTCTCCCTCCCAGGGTGTCTTCCCTTTTGAAGAGGCTGCTCTGACAGCTGGGCTGCTGCTGGTTAGAAGGGGCACTCCCTGGAATGGTCCATCACTGCAGCAAATGGCCAAGTTCACTGTGCCAGGAACCAAGAAAAGAGAAGGGTCCAAGTAGGAGAGTCTCAATGCCAAGAATGTGCTCTCAGATTTATCACTAAGAGGGAAGCGGGGAGCATCGCAAGAGAGAAACCGATGTTGAATTTGCACCGAAGCCTCTTCCCTCTCCCGCCCCCTTTTCCTTCTCCATCCTCCCGTTTCCCTCTCCTGTACCCGGTCCTCCATTGTCGCTTGGTCTTGCTGAGCTTGGAATTCAGCCCTAATACCGAGGAAGAGGCCTCCGCTCCAGTGAAGTGAGGGCCTTCTCCCACTTCCTCTGTGGGATGCTCTCCCAAGATGCTGTGGCAGCGATGCTGCTGCTCTTTATTAAATACAAATTACACTGAGAAGCTTCCAAAAACTTGAGTGGAAAGTTGATTTCCCCAAACCCTCCAGGCATTTCCCAGATCCTGAAAGGATTATTAGTCTTATTGATTGTCATTATTATATACAAAGCCTACATCATTTTTTTTTAAGTTTCCTTAAAGGGACAACATAGAATAAGCATAAGCATGCAGCTTCCAGAATGCGTCCTTAGATTCTGACATAACCTGTCGGATTCTGGTCAGCCATCAGGGCAGAAGGGAACAGGCTTCTCCCTGAAGTTCAGGCAGGGTTGGCAGATTTACCAAGATAAATACAGGACACCTGGGTCAGTTAGAATTTCAGATAAACAATGAACAATGTTTTAGTATAAGTATGTCCCAAATATTGCATGGGACATACTTATAATAAAACAATATTTGTTGTTTATCTGAAATTCAAATTGAACTGATTATCCTGTACTTTATCAAGCAACCTTAAGCCCAGGGAGAGTCAGGACAGTAAAGGGATTTTCACCAACAAAAGATTCTTTTAAAGCCCTGGCTGAATGGCTTTGGACGACATTTCAGTTCAGGCCCTGCATTTTCCCTGGAGTGTGAGCTCAATGTCATAGAAAAACAATTGGGAAAATGAACATTCAGTGAACATTCCGCCCCTTCCTTGCCCTCAGCAGCCTGTGGCAAACTGCTCCCCCTCAACCAGCTGGGGAGGAAAAAAGCTCTCTCTTCTAAGATGGCTTTCCCCTCCCCTTTTACAGATTGGCTTGTTTCTTAGATTTGCCGGAGAGCTGCTTTCGCTAATTGCTTGCAGACTGCGATCCAATCAGGCTTGCCAACTGTGGAGGCAGTGTGGAGGGGCTGAGAGGTAAAGAGGAAAGAGTTTGGAGTCAAGTGGACTTGGTTTGGAATTCTGGCTCTGCCACGCCCTGCCTGGGACACATCGGGGCAAATTGCTTAACCTCTCTGGGCCCCAGTCTCCACATCTGTAAAATGAAGGAACTCACAGTGTTGACGTGAGGGTGACATGAGACTGGAGCATGTACAGTGCTCGTCATCGTGCCTGACACATAGTAGATGCTCCTTTAATATTAACTGTTGTTATTATTGTATCTCTTTGGCATGTCACACATGACAGGTGACACCTAGAATTGAGTCTACTCAAGCCTGGGACTTGGAAGTCTGGGAATGCAGATTCTAGAAGGCCGTTAAGCCCTGTACACCTGGAAAGGATAACTCATTTGAAGGATGACGCCATCACTCTCCTTCAGCACCCTGCCCCATTCAGTCTGGTAGACTGAACCCCTCTGAAGCCAATGATCACATCACCAAACGGATATGAATTAGGTCACCACAAAAATGTATTGGGGGTCAGGAAGTCTAGGTGAAGAAGTGGGAATAAGAGAGCGAGAGGAAGAAGGAGAAGAGGGAGGGAGAGGGAGAAAAAGAGAGGGGGAGAGAGTGAGAAGGCGAGGCAGGGAGAGAGGGATCTCATAGACCTCTTAGGAGCAATCAATGGAATTATCTCCATAACTATTAGAACAGTGCTGAGACGTAACCATAACCACAGTTTAACAAATGTTAGCTCTTATTATTTGAGATGTCTTAAAGAGTGGGTAGGACTTTCATAAATAGAAAAAGGGATTTGTAACTTAGAAGATAAATAAAGTTATTATGAGGCTGACCTTAACTGTGAGAGTGATAAATTTGGACTTGGTTTTATAGGCAAGGGAGCTGCAGAAGACTTTTGAGCAGGGGCTGAGACATTATTCCTAGTAGATGAATGCTGGTGAGAAAAGAGTACTCTCACCAAGATGTGTAAGATGGACTGGAGGGGAAAAAGGGTACAAGAGAAGGACTGGTGTAAGCAGGGGGTTGTTAGAAAAAGACAGATGAGAATAGGAGAATGAAGGGGCAGGGGAGGGGACACCCAGCAAAGGAGGGGACGGGGAGAGGGGGGAGAGAGAGGGAACTGCAGAGATCAAACATACAAGCTTGGCTACCAACTGGCGATCACTGGTCAGGAAGAAGAGCGAGCCAGTTTTCGGACTAAAAATGTATTGATTGTTGCCTTTAGCAGACCCTGTTTTTTGTCTATCCCACATTCCCCATCTCTCTTCCCCTCCTCCAATTTTGTTCCAATATTCACCCTTCTCTAAGTGGCCACTGCTTAAGAGAAGATGCACTTATCCTCAGCCCCAGGGGGTGGGTATTGATTTGTCCAAGACATCCACGTGGCTCCATTTTCTTCCCAGTGATTGGATTAGGCATGAGCATATGGCGAAATTCTTGGCAAATAGAAACAAAGGAGTGGAAACAGCCCAAATGTTCATCAATTAGGGAACGAATAAACAAACGTGGTATGTCCATACAGTGGAATACTATTATTCCGCAATAAAAAAGAATGAGATACTGATTCATGGAGGCCCAACATGGATGGGCCTCAAAACATTATGATAAGTGAAAGGAGCCAGATGCAAAAAGCCACATATTGTGTGATTCCATTTGAGCAAAATGTTTAGAATCAGCAAATCGTAAAGGCAGAAAGTAGGTTAGTGCCTGTCAGGGGCTTTGGGGAGAGGCGGACAGAAAGTGATTGTTAATGGATACAGGCTTTCTTTGGAGGCAATGAAAGTGTTCTAAAATTGATTGTGGTGATGGCTGCACAGTTCTGTGGATGTACTAAAAAACACTGAATTGTACGAATTATATGCTATGCAAAGGATATCTCAATAAAGCTGTTATTAATTTTTTTAAACAACCAAAAAGGAAGACTGCTAGGGAGACTTCTGGAACAGATTTCATTGCTCTAAAACACACACACACACACACACACACACACACACACACACAAAGTAAACTTGGCTTCTCTTTCTGGAGGCCAATGTATGTGAATATGATCATTAGGGATGTTATAATAGTCTCCCTACCAGGAAAGGAGCCACAGAGCAGGTCAGTGCCAAAAGAAGCCCCTAGACTTCCCATTACTTAAGATAATAAATTTTCTTATATTTTAGACTAGTTGAGTTGGGATATTCCATCACTTGTAGCCACAGCATTTTAACTGATACAGTTCCATGAACAGGAAGGAGAAGGGCTGGTTTAACAGAGAGGCTGTGAATTTACATTAATTTGCAAGTGTAATCCAAGCGAAAGTTTCAAATGTAGTTCAAGATCTGGAAAAAGGGATGGATGGATGGATGGAGGGAGGGATGAATGGATGGATTAGCTAGGAGTTCCATGCTCCAAGCTAAAGGCTAAATAAAGCCCCAGGGAGAGCACAGAAAGAGTGCAGAGAAGAGTCTGAGCTGCCTGGACAACCTCCACTGAGCAGGAGAAATGAGTGAAGGAGACAGAGAAAAAGTGTATAGAAAGGACATGGGAAAGTTGGAAAATCCTGCAAACACTATCATGCAAGCTAAGAACAGGCTTCAGGAAGAAGGGGATTAAAGTCTGGGTCAAATTCTACAAAGAAACCAAGGAGGAAATAGCAGGGAAAATATGGTTAGCGAGATAACAAAGAGACCATTTTAAGAAAAAAAAAATTTAAAAACAACAACAAAATGTAGTTTTAGTGGAGTGATGGCGACAAAAGCCAGGTT